GAATGTATTTAATACTTTGGAAAAAATCTGAATAGTCATGGCTTGAGAATTAGAATTTTAAATCAACCAGGCTTGTGATATTAGAGCCTTTCCGTTACCCTTTGCAGGTTTCAAGGCAGCTTATTCGACCTTACAGTCTCACCAGGAAGCTAATGGGAAAGCCTTACAGCAATCTTCACAGGAAAGTTTCCAAATGTCAAGTGTCACCTTTCCAGCTGTTAGATGAATAGGTTGCCCAAGGGCATTTATTTGGATGTGCAGCCTTTGTAAAATCTGGTTGCTGTGGTGCAGAGTGCTGTAATTTGGCAATTTACTTCACCAGTGTTTGGGTGTGGTAGAAACTTTAGTGACTGGTGGAGAGTTTGTTTGTTGAAGTTGTTTAGAGAAGGATTGTGTTGCCCTGATGTTTATAGGGGTAGGTGTGTGCTCGCGTTCAATTCACAGCCCTGTATTCTGGACACTTCCAATTTCGAGTGAAAAACACCCTTACACAGTACCTTATTTTCTCTCTGCTGTGACATCCCAAGGCAAGCAACCTTCCTGCAATCTGCGTGTCTGAATCGACTACACATGATATTTTAAAGACGTATATTGATACCATCTCTCCATTTGCACTTACAGGAATAGGGTGCCATTTCCAAAATCACCAACTATCTCAGCACCAGGATCTATAAATAATGCAGTCAGTCTTTAGCAAAATAAAACTCTTCCATAGGATCTCTCGACCAGCCCAAAACCATGTCAAAAACTGAAACTCAAACCCACCATCCTGACTACTTGCAGAATGCGCTGTTTGAACGGCACGCTGCTTGTATCCCAACCTACTCCAGGCAAAAGGCTAAGCAAACAGATGGGCCTGATATGTGCCCCGAAACTCCAATCATTGCAAGCTCTGGCACATGGTCAAGTGAAGCATGAGATCCAGACTCAAAGACTCTCCAGCAGAAATGCCTTATGTTCCAAACTGGGAGTTATTTACAGAAGCTTCTTGGCTGCTCTTATGCTGGAAACTTTCCATCATTAGTTGCCTAAATATCTCCTGCCTCTTAACATATTCCTCCCACTAAATGAAGCATAGGTTCATCTCAGAAATTGTTGCCTGCAGCTGTCAGGTTAGTTTCTATAAACATGACCAGTCAAAGCCCAACTAAGGATAGTTGTAGTAGAACCTGTTAGAAAATAGTCTGTCTTCCTAGTACCGTTCTTTGCAATTCATTAGAGAGCCAAACAGAATCAGCCCAATTCATGCAACATTTTTTCAGGGTTCAACCTTTTTGTTATTCCATGAATGACATAAAAATTTCTGTAAAATAATCTTGGTGATTTATTGAGTTTGGGGATTGTAATGGCTCTCATTTTTGTTGAACAGTGACTTTATGATCTTGTGCAGAACCAATATAGGCTGCTCTTCTGTGCCTCAGTTACTGTTCATTTCTTTTTGATCAGTGAATGGGATTTAATAATATAATAGTTATATTCAGGGTAACTCACAATTATTGCAGGACTAACTTCAAATGTTCTATGCCTGCCTTGAGAGCAAAGACAGCTCTCGTATCGCGATTCTTCCAGTATTTTCTTCCTGGACCACTGCACCAGCCTTAATGCCTCACTCCTGCTCTATTCATACACTTACCTGTGGAGTGTTTTCCCATACATGGCAGTCAAGCCACCATCATCTTCATACTAAAATCCCTCTTAAAAAGTGACTTTTCCTCTCTGGTTCACAAAAAGTTTTCTTTTATTTAAATCTATTTTTTCTTTACTGTAATCTCCCCCAGTGTGGACAGTTTCTTTTATATTTTTCCTAGACTGAAATGTACATGATACACTTAAAGAATAGAGTACTGGATCCCAACTGATATAAATTGCACTTCACTAAGAAGCTATTCAATATGAATTTTGAGCACATCACTGTGTTATTTTGCACCAGTATTGTATGTTTGCTGTTTTTTCTTTATCTGTGCTGTCAAAAAATATACGGGCTTTGTATCTGAAGAGTATAGTTGTTGATTCTTTTCTGAAGGTTGACCATTCTCATATATTCCTCGAGCATGCATGAATGTACATTATTTCATAATCAATACCAGACATGGGTGGTTCCCAGGAAGCTTGTCTTTGAAGCCATTAGTTATGTTGTCTGCTTCTTTTCAGGATAACCAAAGGGAAAACTGAATGTCCCTTTGTTTAGCTGGAACAATATATGAAACACCAGCATGGAGACAAGTAACAAAGCACCATTTGCAAATAGGTGGACTAAATGCAAGGGCAGGAAACCCGGTATTTTAGTTGCATACCACTGAGTGAGCAATATGTCTGTTCCAGAAACAGAAAGCTAGGAAGGAGCTTAGAAAATCTCTGTCCAACTCAACAGAGCCCTGAGCAAGCTGCTCTAGTTGACCCTGCTTTGAGCCAAGGGTGTTGGACTAGATGGTCCCCAGGCATCCCTTCCAACCACAACTGTTCTGAGATTGTATGAAATAACATAAACATGTCTAACAAAACTTAAACATACTTAACAGAGTTAAATAATGGATAATCGGGGAGAGGGTAGAAGAAACACATGCAAGGGAGAGAGATATGTTTTCAGATCAGACTCAAAAATAGAGAAGGCAGGAGTGAGATGAAGGTAGTCAGGAAAACTCTTCCAGGCACTAGGATTTGTAGAGAAGGGTCTCTGAAAAATAACAGTAATACAAACGACTCACTTTCTCAGTCTTTGTTAAAGGCCTGAAAATGGAGTTAGACCATATTGCTGAGGTTAAGAATTTTCTCCACCTGAAGAAAATGAATGTCACAAATTGTATCAGGTCTAAAGCTGAGTCCCCGGCTCTCAGCCCTGCGCTACAGACTGTGCTGCTTTTGCCCCTCGGCACATCCGTGTTAGGTAGGGCTGCTGCATGCAACGTGCTGGGGATTTTCATCACCCTCTTCCGGTATCCAAAAAATTGCTGTGACTGGAACAATAAGTACCTGCAATATTGTTAGCTCAGCCGATTGGCATCAAATTAGAGGAAGAATGGGCCACGCTTTTTGTCTTCTATTTTTAAAAATCAAGGGAAGAGTTATTATAAATAAAGTCTTGCCTGCAGGCTTGCTTTTCCTATTTGTTTGTGCTATGTCAGGGAAATCCTTCATTATAAAGATGGTTTTGCTTTCAGGAAGCTATAAAACATTTAGTTTGCCAAAAGTTTTGTTTTGTGGAAAACAACACATAAGGGCTTAGTGAATTTATTTCTTTTATAAGCATTGTGCTGAAAGGAAAAAACCGCAAAAATAAATAGAGCAAAACAGGGAAGTGGTAGGAAGGAGGGAGATAAATCTGTGAGGATGTATAGCCAGTGGCTGGGGGAACAAACATCATGTCCCTCTGTGTTTTTAAAGACTTGGTTTATTCCATTTAAACCTTTTTTTCTCCTCCCCCGCCACCTCCACCGGGGTCCACCCCATCATTAACAAACCAGTAGGCACATCTTGCTGTGCCTGAGTGTGTCTGGATGGAATTGTTTGTGGTTTTGCTCTTTGTGAGGGAAGTTTGGCAGGAAGAATAGGCCTGTTTGCATATGGTTTGGGAAGTGGTTTATGACCAGTTTGCATGATGGCATGCAGGAGGCAAGGTCTATTTTTGCATGGGTGTATTCAACCACCTGGTTCAAAAGTGCTTCATTGCTCTGGTGGATTTTATTTTTTTTGTCTTGTATAGGATTTATTTTCTGTTTTATTACAGAAAGCTCATTTGGGGTCCCTAGTCAAGAATCGCTTTCAAGCAATGCTCATTTTGGGTGAGAACAACTTTGAGATTAAATTGTCCTGCTTGGGGAAAGAAACAGTACAATGTAACTTAAGCTGCATATTAAGCACTTAATCTGTCTCCCTATCTGTCTATAGCAATCAATATTTACAGTTATACAAGCAACGAATAGTTCATGAGCAATCCACAGACTGAAATATATTCACAGAGAACATTTGAACAATTCTGGATAGCAAATGAATTAACAAATAACTGCTTTCAAAATGGAAAATTAGGTTTATTACTCACATGTGCACATAGAGTGGAACTGGCCAAAAACCTTTCCATAATCTATCTTTGCTGTCATTCTTACAGAATCAAAATCAGAGAGTTCAGCGTAAGGGTTCAGTGTATCAGGGTTGATTTCAGCAGATTTCTCTGCTTCCAAATATGTAGGAGACAAAAAGTGCTAACGTTTTTAAAATGTTCTAATTTCAATTGTGTGATCCGGGAAGTTCTCTTTTGGCATTGCAAACGACATTTTGCAGTTGACATTTTGGTTAAGAAAGACTAAAAAAGAGTTGAAGGGGATGAAATCAAACCCAAAATAATCAAAATACAATACTTTGATTTGTCAGTTAACAAAAGCTTTTTTGAGATGTAGAGTGCTGGGCGGTTTGGTCTTCTAAGAACTCAGATTCTTCTGGTGTAAGCAACGAGCCCTGTGGTGCGCGACACACAGGAAGCGGTGAGCACTCAGGAGGGAGGAAATGAGGGATGTCTGGCTTTATTTTACAAAGTGTGGCTGCATTGGCTGCTAGGGAGAGGTCGTGATACTGAAGGGAGTTTGGTCCCAAGTGTTAGGGATCTTTAAAGGTTAGCTTTTCTCAAAATGTCCACCATTAGGGATGTATTCAGGTTTGCATCATGCCGGCTAGTACAGTTCCACTATTTTCGGTGCTTTTTAAGTCATCAGAAAATTTGGGCCCCAAATGTATAGTCTCTGTCCAAGGAATAAAAGATCTGGGGTCAGAATCTGAGACACGCACCCAGGCAGTCCCACAACAAAACAGACGTGTGAACTCGCAGGCTTTGAACCAGCCTAGGAAACAAAAGGCACTAAACCAAACAAAATCCCCATCATCTCATCCATGCTTATTAGTTTTCATAGGTAAAAGTGGGCTAAATAAGTTCCTTTAAAAAAACCCCAAAACAACAACAACAACAAAATAAACCCACAACCCAAAAGCAGCAATTTCTAAGTGGCTGAGGTTTTTACTTTCTGTTACAGAAAATCTTCCCCACACCTCGAGTAGTGGTTCTTTTTGTCCTACTGAAGAAATCTTTCTTTTAAGGATAGAATAAACTGCTGTGATCTTATGGTGGGACTTATTAGGAACACAGCCTGAGTAGGGCTTCTCTGTGTTAGAAATTCCTGCTTTGCTTCTTTGTGATTTTATTGAGTCAACCATCTGAGTGAGCCAAGATTTTAATTCTACCTACCATAGCCTGATTAGGATGCTGTTCAGTATCTGCACATGGAAAAAGATTTTCTCACTACAGTTTTTACAGTATTAGATGCAACATTTACATTGAAAGCTTTTCACTGACTCACCAGAGAAAAGGCTGTCTTTAAAACAAAAGTGACTGTGGTGTGTCAGCTGTAATGTGTACGATCTTCTTTGATCCCAAATCGGAGTCTAATTTTTGTCACCCTTAAAGTATTAATACAATTAAATATTAAAACAATAATAGCTTTGCATATATTGATATGTATCCCATTGCACAGGCTAGGTAAAATCTTTAAAAGGGGGGGGGCGGGGAAAGGTGCAGGAGTTCAAAATACTTAGTTAAGGCCAAGTGATCCTGCACATGGGTGCCTTCCCTCATTTTTCACAAGTCCCTACATTTTTATAGATTGATACTTGGAAAGGGTCTGTCTGTGCATACCCTGGGTTGTTTGGGTTTTTGGGTGGGGTGGTTTTTTTCAATCTCAATGTTGCTGGCTGCTGTAGGGAACAGAACTGGCTGTTTGGAATGGCTGAACAAACCTTTGGACTGAACCAGGCTAGCAGTACAGGATGGAGAATAACTGTTTCATTAATATATTCTTCAGTTATATCCAGCATGGCATAATATTCCAGCATGAATGCTATTTGGACAGAAGTGTTACACATGCAAGTGTTTGCATGTTTTGTTGATTTGCAAGTCTGAACACAGAATACTTAAACTTTGGGTTATTATATATGAATTATTCCCTTCTTAGGGCTAATAATAAATTCTATGAAAAATGAATCAGCAAAAAATTCTATGGTTGGTTTGTTTGTTTTTTACAGTCTTTACATGGTGTTGCAGTTTCTACTGTTCCAAAACTACCACTCTTCTACACTCCTATCGATTTAGTAGACATCAGTGTAGAAATGGCTGGACTGAAGTTTCCAAACCCTTTTGGCCTTGCCAGTGCAACCCCTACTACTAGTTCTTCAATGATTCGAAGAGCTTTTGAAACTGGATGGGGCTTTGCTGTCACTAAAACCTTCTCCCTGGATAAGGTAAGGAAATTTTTTAAGATATATTTAACATGTAACCATTTCTTTGTATATTTGAAAAATATGAATCTTTTGGGAATGGCACTATTAAATGAAAATAACAGGGAAGGGTATCAGTACATCATTGTGTAGGTCAACTAGTCTAGGAGGTTTCAGCTTTATCATGCAACTCATGGAAGGCAGCTTCTGTGCCAAGGACTGCCAAGATGAGCCATTGAAATGGAGTTGCAGTTGCACTGTGGTAATGTGTGTGTAAGCTTGAGGCTGAGTGGGTAGTGGAAGAGAAAGATGGAGGCAACATACAACAAGTCTATGGAGGGAAGAGCAGTTGTGCTGAAGGTTTGTACTACAGTGACATAAACCTTCAGTAACATGTAGTGGAAGAGGAAGGAGTTAGAATTAAGTCTTGAAGGCTATGGCTCAATGTGGTACCTAACATAAAGCACTTTGTGTAGTTTTAAAGTGAGTAATTGCTGGTGTGACCTGAGAATGGCATTCAGGATGAGTTTCCTGTTAACAATCAAAATGGCAAAGCGAGACTGAGCAAGAAGTTCCAACAGTGAGAGAAAACAACAGTTTTGATAAATGTATTGCAGAGAAAACAAACAAGATTTGGGCTGGAATGTAAATATAGTTTGACTTGTGGAGGGAGGAAGAGGATCAAAGGTAAATCCTTGGGCAAAGGCCTGAGTAACACTGTGCATAATGGTAATGTGTTGTCAACCAGTGACAAACAGCAGCATGGGCTGAAGAGAGCTTTTGAGATGAATTTGGAAACAAGGGGCTTTTATTCTTGGTTCAGAGATGGGATGTAAAAGCATAGTAATGGATGGAGACCTTAGCAGGAGAGAAAAGGTGGATTTTTTTTACTCTGCCACCTCTACATGGGTAAGTACCATAAGTGAGTTAACTATAAAGGGTGGCCCTCTAATATGAGGAAGGTCTAAGGAGAAAGTGCTGTATTACTACAGCATACTGTAAAATGTGTCACACTGGCTTCCGCTGTCACACCTTAAGTCGCCCTAAGGAAGTGAGTGTTCCTCTGGATTGCGAGATTCCAATCTACTTCACAGGGTTTCGTATTAAAATACTTTTTAGGACATAAATGTCATTCAAATATGTTTACAACTGACTTATGTGTATAACATACCACCAGCTGTAATTATTCAGTGCTTAGGCTAAAGGCAACTCATAGCAAGTGCTGAGATTTATTTATTTATCAGCTTTATTGCTGGTATGCTCACAGTCCTGCCAGACTGCACGTTGATTACTGTGTATCTTGAGCTAAACAGACGCTGGCTGAGTTCCAGCTTGGGTGGGAGTTCAGGAGGAAAGACATGCATGTTGTAGGAAGTGATGTTGGTACTCCACTAAGCAGCAGACTCTGAGTCATTTCTCAAATGGCGACTGCAAAGTGTTCCACTGGGTGCCATGCTCTGGGGGTGTGATTCCGCTGGAGATCTTACAAGTGAGAGGATTGCTAAAAGCAAGTATCTTAAGTGGTTATAAAATACAATACTTTTTTTTTAAATTGATGCAATAAGAATCAAAATATTGCAGGTAGTATTTGTTTTAAAGATAAAAGGTTCAGAAAAGTGCTTTGGATGAATTCTAGTCCAGTGATTGTTATTTCTAGCTAAACTTTATAAGAAAGTTCAGTAAGAGGCAGTTGTCTTTCTCTGGTGCCGAAACTCTTGAATCATATATTTCTGCGTGCAGTAGGACTGTGTCCCACCCAAGTACTGCCTAGTTTTTCTACTATTGTATTCTTCCCAGTACTGCATTTCCTACAGGTGTTAAGCCTTGATATTTGTGATGTGATTTGAGATGCTTGGCTGTGAGGTGCTGCAGAAATAAAATTGCTTTTATTTCTAATAGCAGCATGGTAATTAATGCTACAAAAATAAATATTTCAAATGGGAAGGAAAGCTCAATGAGGTACAGCAGTTCTTACGTGAACAATGAGTACTACACAAAGACTGCTCTTCTTAATGCTAGAGCAAGGAGTTGGTAGAGAGTTTGGAATAATACAGGTTGGCATAATGTGCTAATTTTTTTTTTTAAACTTAGCTTCTGATTATGTAGCTGTAAATCTTGTGCAGG